ACCTGTGGAATGTAAGCGCCTGTAAAAATATAAAATGAAGAATGAAACAAAGTTCTTCTTGATTAAATATAATTTAATACTCAAGTCATTGTGCTTTAAATCTAAACACAATACAAATTTTAATTATTACTAAAGAAATAGTAGGCATTTCAAAATATAGCCTAAAAGATTAAACATTATTCCTACAAGGGTGGTAGCAAAATAATTGTTATGTATGGATAGGAGTAAAGGATTTGCACCAGTGTTGTAGAGTAATAAAAGGACATTGGCTTTTGACTTGCTTTAGCTTTTATGTTCTCTTTTTTCATTGGAAGATATTGGGGATCTTTTCATTTTGTTTCAACCTGGTTGTATTGCTTCAGATAGCTGACTTCCTTGAAGGCTGTCCAAAAAGTAAATAATCTGAAAAACTTGTTCCTTTCTTAAATTTGGATCACTGGAATATTTATTGTACTGCAGAGTGATTTGAATTTTGGTGCTTTAATGTGATATTCATATGCCTGCATAAGCATCGTAAATTATATGTTCCATAATGAAGATACACTCATGTCCTTTCAAAACACACTTATCTGTATATTGCAACATGACTGGAACTTTGCTGTGGACTTACATTGACTAGGGTTAATATCTAATTGTTTCCTCCATAATTCACTTAGAAATGTTGTGCTGCTATAGCACATAGGAAAAAATGAAAAGAACAGCTTTGTATATATATATATATAAAAATTATATATAATATATATATTTTAATATCAGATGAGCGTGCATCAGCAGTTAGTGCCCGTTCTGTTTTCAGTTTTTTAAATTAAAACATTATTTATTTATACTTGTGTATGGCTGATGTAAAATGCAATTACTTTGATTTAATATGTTTTAACAAAACATAAGTTGAAAATTCTTATTATCTGCTCAAACTACGTAGGGGACTATAAAGTTAATGTATGCTTTGGAACTTTGACACATTTCATTTTTAAAACCCCTGATCTGAAAGGGTTCCTCTCTTGCCTTCTGTCTACAGGTTAATCACAAAGTTAAAAGTTTGCCAGTTACTTGAGAAAAATACAGTTTTAATGAAAGTTAATGTGATGTTTCTTATTTATGTTCACTATGTATTTTATGCATGTTTGAATTTACTCTGGAGAAGGAGAGGAGGCTCAAGAATCATAAATTGGGGTGACCTTTCTCTGCAATAGCTGCAGCTGTCCTCTTTATGATGAGAAACATGATGAAGATATGTTACTGACCTTGCATCTAAGCAGGTATAGATAAGCCTACAGCCAGGATTCTCAAATTTGGGTGGTTAAAATTAGGTCCTTTAATCCATATTGAAGTGCCCTGAGCAAGTGGATCAACTTACCTTTTACTCAAGGGAAAGTGAAAAGCACATTTGATAATCAGATTGTAGTCCTTGTAAATTTAAAGATACGTGTAGATGCTTAATGTTGTGCTCTGGAGTTTAAGAATTTTGGCTTTTATGTTTTAAGATAGCATGAGTGCATCCTCAAACGACTCAGAGTATGGTTTGATGATCCAGCATTACCTGCTATTACACCATGCTCAGGAGAAAGATCCACCCAAATCTCTTCTCACCTCTTAGTGGTCCTACACTGTTGTATCTACTTTCAATCAGTTTCTATCCTCCTCTTGATGACTGTTGCAGATATGTTTGTTAATGGCAAAGACTGGTGTAGGCAATAAATTCCAGCACAAAATGTGTTTCATGCTGAAATAGGTTGAATGTCTAAAATGGCTGTGATAGAAAAGGACAGAATACTTGAGGCAAGGGATTTTTAGCTGGCCAGTCAAATTAAGCTAATAAGGAGACATTTGCATTTTATTGATGACAAGGTTTAATTATCTATGCAGATCTGCTGGCTAAGTCCCAGTGAAAGGAGCACTCCCTGCTAATGTGCTGCATTTGCAAAAACATCTGTCAACCCATTTCAGGAAGAAAAACCACCAGGGAACTAACCCATGAAGAAAAACAGTTGTCTTCCAAGTTTAGCTTTACTAGGTGGCTTATTCAGAGGAGAAACGGTCTTTTTGGTTGATTTAGCCAGAATGTGAAACCACACCTGGAGGTGGGGCCAGTGTATCTCTTAGAGAACCAGAAGCAAATTACAGAGCAAGAGATGTGTTGGGGCCATTTTGAAGACTTAAAAGGAAAAGTTAATTTTGGTGGTTAATGCGCTCTACTGAAGGGGGGTAGGGAAGCGCTTCTCGAGCATTATATTCTGTAATGAAGAGGTTTTCTGTAATGAATGTAACATGACACATAAAAGCATTCTCTAGGAAGGGGATCCAGGGAGTTGTCTTGTCAGGTAAGGACCAAACTAGCTTATTCAAGGAGTGATTAAATGTAAGTAAGTTAGTGTGCAGGTTTTCTGTAATTTTTAATGCATTTTAGAAGTATCTGTAATATGTTGCATAGTCTGTCTTGTATTTACTGGCGTTTCAAGTTCAGTATGATTTTAAAGTTACCAGATATTAAAAAGTCATTGCTCACCCAGTTTTTGGGAAGTTTGGGATAACTTAGCAAGTGCCTTACTTAGCCTTTTTGAGTGTGTGGAGAGCATGCTAACAGAGCTGCAGAGGTTGCATAGAGGATTTTGTGGTTACTGTCAGGCACTCTCACATACAACAGGCTATTATGTTACGTATTTCCACGAAGAAATGTCGTAACAAGTGACTCCTAGTGGAGGAGCCCTTTTTCACAAAATATTGATATGCTCGTTTAACTTTGTATTGGCAGATTTTTCTGCAAATACTGAGTATTTTGGGATCTGGCAGAAATGTGATCATGTGCCAGTGTCTGGCCTAGGGCAGGTCTGCTGGCCTGGTAGTTCAGAGATCTGGTATCAGTTATGAAACTGAGATTTTCATGAATACGTCCTGTCCTGAGCATGGTAGCTATGGTAGATAACAAAAAGGAAAAAAAAAAAAGATACAAATTTAAAGTTGAGGTGGTAAGACCTTGTCATTCAAGAAATGCAAAATTTGTAACATTGAGGAAGTCCAGGGTAGGGTTTGTATCACCCAATTTTACTGAAATGTAGTCATGTCTGCTGCTGGTTTAATGATCATTAGCCAGTGACACAAGAATATTATTTTTCTATCCAGTCAAATAGAAGGAAATCAGGTTTCAGCAACAAAGTTAATAATCTCAGTGGAGTGAATAGTACCTAAAAATCAGTGACATTATCAAGAAAACATGTGAAAAGGCTTCTGATTTCAAAGTGAGATTCTTTGCAGAATTTTGGTCAGTTACAATGGAGTTACTATTTAAAATTGTAGCTTAGAATTATGATCCAAAATGATCTAAATTGTGTATTTTCCTATATCGTAGCTGTCTTTATGATATGGATTTTTGCTTTTCCATTTTTGTCCTGTATTATATGTCTACAGAGCAGTGATGCATCTTAAGGTTCAAGTCATGCTTTATTTTCCTCATCTCAATACAACCATAATGGGCCTTTTGTTTATATTTTTTGTATATTTTCCATCTTTTAATAGAAAACTTTCATAGAGCTTGCTGAGACTCATTTACTTCACACTGAAAACCATTATATCTAGCCTAATTAGCACTGGAGGTGTACTGCTTTTCTGATTACTTGCTTTTCTCTAACAATACATTTTCTTGTATTCCGCATTGTTTTAAAGTCTCTGAACCTCAATATTTGCAGCATTAAAACTGAAAAGAATCTTTGATGGTGTCGGTTCACTTTTACGGATCTTTCACTGATATAAAAAAATTAGCCTAATTTGAATTATAAATAGTACACTGACGTGAATTTCCTGAGTTGCTTGTTGGACAAGTCATGTAACATTACATTGATTTTACCTACTCAATCTTTATCTGTATGCTGCAATTGGATTAGCCATTACTAAGGAATGAAGAGATGTGGAAAATCACAAAATAAGAAGTACAAACTGTTACTATATATTACTGTTGCACATGATAATGTGTATGGTCTGTTCCTTCTGAGCATAGATGGCATCTGATGACGGTAATGAGTGTTGGACATGGGGCAAATTTAAAACTGTTTTTCCCATCAGTTTGTTTGAGCTCTGTACCTGACTCTTGTCTGTTCCACTCCTGCAGCTGACAACTAACAGCAGTCTCTGCAGTGTTGATGTAGCTAGAAAGCAGCTAGACTTCTGTGCAGACTTAACTGCTGTTAGTATTAGACTGGAAAAAGGGGAGTGAGTTTTGAAAGGAGAGAACTTGGGCAGAGAGAGGAGTCATAAGAAGTAAACATTCCAGTAAGGCTAAGAAAGACTCTTCTGTAAGGGAAAGAGAAATTTAAAGGACAGGGAAAAGAGACTGTAAGTATGAAGAGTAGAAAGATGGCTGGAACTAAAATGACATGAAGAGAGGGAGCTTTTTAAAGTGAGGAAGCATTTTCATTGTGTTTCAATGATATCTAATCCTCATACTGTGTTTCAGCTTTCCTCTCCTTTTATCTTCTCAACTTTTAATGTGAATTTATAATGCTGATCTACTGTCTGTTTCTAATTTCATGCTCTATTAAAAATTCCCAACCTCAGCCATTATCACTTCCCAACCATATCACTTTCTCCTCATTCACCTCAAAGAAATAAGGGTGGGTTGTTGTTGTTGTTATTATTAGCCATCAAATAGTACCGGTTCAGATGTACTAGGTATTCATTTATATTAGAAGTCTGATTGCCAGTAGAAAATTAGCTGTTCTGTTTTCTCCTTTGTGTTACACTGTTATTAGCAGTAGTAGTAGTAATATCAGACAAAGTTAAGCAGCTCTGGTATACTGCAGTGTTGTAAAGAAGTTCCTCTCCTCTGGTACTTTTCAAAAGGCTTTTCCAGTTCTTACAAACCGTGTATGGTCTGGTTTCAATATGCAAAATGACTGTGGAATCTTCTTTCCAATCCCTGTTAGATGCTATTGGAAGGCTGAGGGTTTTGATGTTTTTTTTTTTAGGGCAAAAAATTTAGGATCACTATTTTCATCTCCTTTCTTCAGGTGTCCAACTGCCAAGGGAAGATGAGATTTCAGTACCAGTGACCTCAAGCTCACCAGTTAAGGACACTGGGGAGAATTTTGATCTTGCCATTGAACAGGAAGAGAAAATGAAAGAAGAACCTTTAACCATCTCAGAACTGGTATACAGTCCTAGCGCCAGCTTGCTGCCCACTCCTGTTGATGATGAGATTGACATGCTCTTTGATACCTCTCCAAGAGTAGAGTATGAGAAAGATGATACAGATTCATTTGAGGAACTGGAAGCAGATGAAAATGCATTTTTGATTGCAGAGGAGGAAGAACTGAAAGAAGCTCGGAGAGCGCTTAGGTGGAGCTGTGACTTTCTAATGGGCAACATAGAGGTGAATGCCTTTGTGAAGAGTTTCTCCAGACTTCTCTTTGTAGGCCTTGGACTGTTACTGTTTGTGTTCCCTCTCCTCCTTGTTCTCTTGGAGTCAGACCTTCAAATCTCTTTTCTCCATGAAATTCGTCAGACACCTGAGTTTCAGCAGTTTCATATTGAATATTACTGCCCCCTTAGGCAGTGGGTGGCTTGCAAAATAAACTTCATTTGTGACATGCTGGGCAGCTTTTAGATTTAAAATAAATATTGTAAAACTAAGGGCTATATTCAAAATTTCAGTTAGTGCCAGCTTTCCATAATGCCCCTGGAAACAGTAGCTGTTCCAGACAGTAGATGTCTTCATATGCGTACTCATAGATTTTTCATATCCATACTCATAGATGTCTTCATATCCAAACTCACAGATTTTTCAAGTTCTTAAGTTCGCTTTGCATTATTAAATTTCCTGTTTAGCTACAGGCTTTTATGGTCAGGTTTCAGTAAACCAAAAGAAGATTTATTCTAATTGCATTTCCTGCTCATGTATTACATCATATAAGATGTGTTCACAGTAAGTTTCGCTGTCCTTAACCTTACAATCCATGACACTAAATCCAATGAAACTGAAAGAAAAACTGTTTTGAATATACTCCTTAGTGCAGCAGTCTTCTAACCAATGCCTATACAAGCAATGTTTATGCTGGGTTTTTGTTTTTGGTTTGTTTTTCTGTTTGTTTGTTTTTTTAGAATTTTATGTGTTTAAAATATTTTGGTAATTTTTTATCAAAAGACAACTTAGGATGTTATTTAAATGTACAAGTTGGTAAGAAAAATGCACAAGGGAATGTGGGATGTTTTTAGTGTTTTAGCAATGACTTGTTTTTAAGCTAGTGGCTGCAGAATGAATAAGTTTAATATAGGTCTATAAAGAGAGACTGTGGTTTGGGAAATACATAGAAAGTTCGCTCAAGTTCAGTAGCGGCTGCCTGGGGGAGGTGAGAAGACACCAAGTACGCAGAAGAATTTCTGAAAGGCACAGTTGTAAAGCTTATGGAAGTGAGCAGAAAGGAAAGTAATGGTACTTCCTCTTAGCTGTCGGGTTGTCTTACATATTATCAGTGCTGTAGAAAGTCTCTACAAGATAGAGACATTTTGGAAAAGAGTGAGTTCAGTCTAAATGTAGATTATTTTTGATAACATCAAAGTAGATAATAGTAAGTAGGAAGAAAAAAAGCCAAAGCCCTCACTTAAATTAGCAGGTGAGTGACCTACTTTTAAAAACTATAGAGAAAAAGAGGAAAAGGAACATGTTTTGTATTCCTTTTTGAAAGCAAAGCATTAGGCTGTACACTTGACATAAAAGTATTCTACTGACTCACTATTAAAGGCTTTAAGAGATGCATCTTAATCCTTGATGCCCGTCATTACTAATCTCTAAGACGTTTTCTGTGCGTACGAATATGCTTTGTTTCATATATTACAGTAGTATACTTACCCTCTTTCCTTGTTATTACAAATCCAGTTACATGATCTAATGCTGTTTCATGTAACATGGATTTGTATAACTAAAGGTATTCCAACATAGCTTAGCGAATATGCTTAAGTAATTCTTGTCAGTGCTGAGAATGTTTGATGGCCCTCCAATATGCCACAGAGGATGTATTTAAGAAGAGAACGCTTTTAGCCTTCCTTTCCCTCATCTTAGTGCAGAGGTATTTCATATTTAAACTAGGGAACTCTGATTTTGGCATCACAGTCTTTCTTCTGCTTAGATATTTATGAATTGGAGACATTATTTGAGGCTATTAGATATGCATTTAACACATTGTAACTGCATCTCTAATTCCTACTGAATAAATTCCTTTCATTTCAGTATCAGAGAGCCAGTTTTGCTTGGTTTTCTCATGTAAGCCTTTGCAGATATCAAGTTTGAAAATGGCAATTTCTTTAGAGCATTTCTCCTTACCTTCTAATCTTCTCCAGTTTTTAAAGGAAAAAAACAGTTACAGGGCTTAGGAGTTCCTTTTCTCAGTTGAAAACTTTTGGATTCCTATTCATTTCCCAACCAACAAATGCTAAATTAAACACTTTTTCTCCTTTTGACTGTGTTTGTCCTTGCCAGTCTCTTCCCCAGAATCATTATTGATAAGTTACTTGATGTGTATTTCTTCTTGTGCTACTTGCAGCCAAGTGTTCCTTTCCCTTGAGGTAATAATCATTCAGCCTAGAAATGGAGAGTGAGCTAAAGTAGGTGTTAGGCCTTAATGGGAAATTACTCACATTATTTCTAAACAAATGTGTCAGAAAAGGTATTTCAAGTGGTAAAGGCTGTGAGAACTGTCATCCTGCTGGACTATAGCGACATGGTTCCATACAGGCTCCTGTGTAAGTCTGGTAATTATGCAAAAAAAAAAAAAAAAGTTAGATCCTATGTCTAAAATATAGTCTTGTCCCTGTAAATTACAGCATTCCAAAAGTAGGCGTATTGTTATGCTTGATTTAACTCTATCAGAAAAATAGCTGAGTTGCATGAGAACATAAGCTCAAAAAATGTGCAGTGCAGTGAAGTTTTATGTAGGGTTAAATGCAAGTGTATGTGTGCACATGTGCCTGCCTTTACTAATCATGTGCATATATTCAGGCCTGGCCTTTTAAAATTCTTCACTTCCTTCCTGGTACTTTCTGGTCTGTCAAACTAATTTAACTGAAAGGCATGAGAATCCTATAATATAAAGGCCAGGACCACGTATTATGTGCAGAAGGATATGGTTGGATGTATTCAGAGAGAGTAGCAGTCTAGTATTTTATTGGTGAGGATGACGGGCTTGGATTATGGAGCACCTGTAGGTACAGTATTGTGTATTTCTGTCTGTGTTTGGATTATATTGTAAAATGTATGTACTTGAAATATATTTTGTGATTTGTCTAACATTTGTAAACACAACTCTGGGAAGAATTAAAAACTGTTTTATTTAATGGAGACTAAGGGGAAAATATACCTGTAACTTGAGCCTTATCTTTGTACAGTGAATTTCACATTTCTATATGTCAACATCCTGATTGTTTTGTATGTTGATATGATGGCAGGAAACCCTAATAAAAATACACTGGAGAAAAGCTTTATGCAGTTATGACAGTTATTGTGGTAAAAGATGTTTCCCAAATACTGCTTTTTGCTGAGAATTAGTTGGTACATCATGTATTGCAGTTTTCTTAGGACTCATACAATTTTCTTTTTTTAATTCATCAGCTGGAGAGACACTAAGAAAGTGCTTTCAAATAGGATGTTATTAACATGGCTTCAGATGCACTAACCAATTCTTTGCCCAGTTACCATGTAAGAGTTAGGCACACTCTTAAATTTGCCCCAAAATAAAATTACTACACACAGAATACTAATTGAGAAGTCTGGTTTTAAAGTCAGGCCCTGGCTGGAGACATATGGCTACAACCTTTTGATAGGCAGATGTGGCTACAGTGTTACACAAGCAAAGCTGTGTAGCTTTTCGATGGAGCTTGCTTTACATCAAGTTGGTCTGGAGCTCAGACAGTTCAAATGCATCTTATAAGAAAGATGCAATCTGGAAAGAGGCAATTGAACATCATCTTGGGGAGCTAAGTCAGAGACAAAATTACCTGCTATATTTATTTCATTCTGTCTTTTCCCATATTAGCTTACTTATAATTTCAATGCAGATGTGTTTTCTGAGCTCACAAAATGATACTTTGGAGAAGTGAGGTGGCCCCCAGTATCTTCATCAGCAGGAACACTCTTCATCAGATGAATAAGTACCACCTACAATTGCTAGTCACAAAAGATAAAGAAAATATAATTTGTTTAAATGGACTAGAAATTGAGGTGAAACAAGCTACATATCTTTGGAGAATAATTACCTATATTGATTGTATAGGGCATGTATTTCTAGAAAGAGCTGTAGAGGAAAGAACATGGAAAGCCTCTCAACTGCACTCCTATTCTATTTAGATTCTATTTAGAATCTCTAATAAAAAGATCTGCTGCATGTAGTGTTTTCTGAAAAGTCTGGTTTAAAACCACTTTAAAATATTTTCTGATTTTCAGTATTATGCACAGAATTAGTTTCCTAAAGAGAAGTTTTGAGAGGGCTGCAGGTATTTTTAAGTTAGCTTCTAGTGCAATGAACCTGGCAGTAAAAACCAAAAACGTCACCTAATTTGTCCCTTGCTTTTCTCAGATCAAATCTTTGGATTCATTTTCCCACAGATAGAGCTGGGTGAATATAATGAGATGAGCTTCAGGTATGGGAGAAAAGGACTTCTTCAAAGTCAAATACAAAAACCATCTGAGCAAAAAGTCTGCTTAGATCCTGTCTTGGGGATCTAAGTCAACAGCTGAAATCCTCACTCAGCAGCATATAACCACTGGAAATATGAAATTCATTAGCACATGATCTCCTCATGACCACCACCATTCCTTTGCTGGTTTTGCCTAGCTGATGGTATGTGCCATTTCAGTCTTGAGACCCTGGTATGTTCACAGGGAACTGTAACAGCAAAGGTGATGTAAGGAGATGTCTACATAAAAACAAAGTACCAACTGCTGGTGAAAAATAACGTTGAGTCAGCTTTGCTTCATAGCTGCCTATCTGTTCTTGTTACTTCAACCTACTGTTTTTTTAAATAAACCTACTGTTAAGTCAGAGTAGCTGAGTTATACTTTTCTTTGGACAGCCCACCAAAAAGTATTACTAACTGTATTACCTTTGAGACCATTATTCTGTCCTTGTAATTTTCTTCACCTGAGATGGATGAGAAGTATTCTTCCCTTCTTTCACCCCACCTTCTCCACCACACATTGGTTTCCCCAAAAGTTATTTTGGAGCCTCAGAAATGAGATAAAACAATGTGTCTGATGAGCATGACATCATATGGATACACAGAGAAAGGACTGATCTCTACTTCTAATGTGTTATCAATGCCTTTGCCATTATAGTAGTATAGTAGTATAGCTAGCATATTGTCCTTCTGAGTGAAGTAAATTTTGCTGTTCCGATTTAGGCAACTCTACCCCACAGAGATAATGAGGATTATCAGGGGACTGGAGCACCTCCCATATGAAGTTTCCAACCTAACTGTTTCCCAACCATAACTATTCTATGATTCCATGATTCTATGATCATCCTCGTGGCCCTCCTCTGGACTTGTTCCAACAGTTCCATGTCCTTTTTATGTTGAGGACACCAGAACTGCACACAATACTCCAAGTGAGGTCTCACGAGAGCAGAGTAGAGGGGCAGGATCACCTCCTTTGACCTGCTGGTCACGCTCCTTTTGATGCAGCCCAGGATACGGTTGGCTTTCTGGGCTGCGAGCGCACACTG